CCGGAAAAATATTCTTCGCAGATGCATCTACTCAGCTGTGCTAAACGTGCGTGCGAAGCGGGTATTGCAGCCTGTGTTCCTGGTGCTAAGATCTCCACCATCTCAAAAGCCATTTCTCAGGAAGTCTACGAGTGTGGGTGCCGGGTTATCGCGGGAATCGGAGGTCACGGTATCGGAGACTTCTTCCACGGCCCACCACACGTGAGTCACTGCGTCTTCGAGGAAGAATCCGTCGACGCTGGGCTCGAGATGCTTCCCGGCCACGTTTTTACCATCGAGCCGGCCATTGCTGCTGCTGCTGCTGCTGCCGACCCACTTTGTGTAGATGAGGTGACAGAACATGTGGCAATGCCGACTGTCCTGAAAGACGGCTGGTCTGTCTGCACGTCGGACAGTGCGCTGACCGCGCAATTTGAGGAGACCATTCTTGTAACGGACAACGGTCCCCACATCCTGACCCGATAACATGGCCCTAATGAAGTTCGAAGTTTCGACTACGAGATCATCGTTCCGTGTACTACCCATACGAGATCAACGCCAATTCGACGTTTCCGACGCCCACCCAAAGCTAGTTCTTTAACCACCCACTCCACCACCACGAAGTTTAGGAAAGTATAGAAATGGAAGTGGGCTGCGTCACAATCCACGCAACCGAACACAAGCCACAAAGCCACGCAGCCCAAGCGCAAATTGGCGAATCCACGTAATTCAACGACACCAAAGCTAAGTAGTCAATCCAGATATAATAGTGTAGTCTCCATGATGTCAGACCTGATCAAGCCAGTAGAGTTCCCAACCTCACTAAATGGTTAAATGAGAGGATACGGAAGCAACATTTGGCAGTTTGTAGGCGCCCATCTACCCGGAATGCCGATCACCAAGAAACAAAGGGATAAATGGTGCCAAAATGGTAGTATTGTTGTTCGAAGGCCCTGGAAGAGCTGGGCGAGCAAGGTGATATTCACTGTCAGAATCGTCCCCATAGAAAGCGACTTCATGATCCAAGATCGAGACCTCCCCTGCTAAAAGAGGGAAGTACAAGGTAA